AGCAGCAGCAGCAGCAGCAGCAGCAGCAGCAGCCATAACACAGGATAAGGGCATATCCTTATGGGAACAGAGCCAGTGCATCTGACCGTGTTGACATTTTACACTCTGGCATCAGATGGAGGGATAGTTTGCATGCCTGCATTTTTGGTCACAGTGCTAACAGTGGTGGGTGAAAAATGGAAAAGAATACAAAAGATTTCTTCAGATTTTCTGAATTTAAATGTTCGAATTTCACTAAATAATTCCAGCCTGTGAATAAATGAATTTATTGACTGATGAAATTATGCAGATGAGATTTTTTTTCAGATGAGCGTCATCACCCACTGATACCACACGTGCATCATCAAAACCAGGTTCTTTTTCTATCTGTTTTTTTTTTTTTTACAGTTTGGTCCTCGGTCTCCTCCAGCTTCGCCCCAGAGACCAAATGCATCATTTGAGGCTCATACAATTCACTGCTTCCCAGCCACTGGCTCCTACCAGCCTGATAGAGGCATTTTTCGCCACTTAGAAACACACACTGTGTCCGATCCCTTCCTCCTTAATATGTCCTCTATTACCATCAGGCATTTATGCCTGTTTTTTCTACTTCAGTAACCACTGAGCACCGGCTTCATTAAAACTAATTGAATCGGAAACATGTCTGCCTGAGGAAACATTAACTCTTTCTATAAAGGAAATTTCCGATTTCATTTTGTCAATAAGGTCAAAGGAGTGAGCCCATGTGTTCAATACTGATACACGCTGTGCCCATAAACTTAAACTGTAACCCTAAACTGTAGGGCTATTTAATTCTGACAAAGGGAATATATTATCTAGCAGCAGTGAACGTGCCGTCGAAACTCTGGTGGTTTCTGGTGATTATGTGACGATTCAAAAAAAACAAACAAACAAAAAAACACACACTTGTTTTTTTCCCCCCTGAAATACATTTTCAACCTTAAGAAACCCTCTCCAACAATATGTTCTGTCAATTTCATTGCATTATTAATTTCTTGTGGTTAGCATAATTGAGTCTTGGTACAAGCATCACATTAATGGATTTTACTGACCACACTTGAAACAATAATTTGATGGCATCCGTCAGAAATCAATGTGCAATAACAGAGCATACACAGCTGTTTAATATGAAGTAAATATTTATGAGTGATCTGACTAGACATCAAGTTCAGTCAATCTTCTTTGAAAGGATCTGTGCGAATGATTAACCTCATTTTACTGGTGCTGTCTGGGCTGGTAATGGCCATTAGAGCTAAGAAGGAGTGAGGCCTTTGATTTTTGGCTTCTCATCATTCACAGCTTGTCGCATCCCTTCATCCTTCATACATGGCTGCTGAATTGATTGTCTGTTTAGTCCTATGAATGATAAAGCTGCTCTGGGCCACAGGCTGAGAGGGACAGACACGGCTCACCTCCATCTATATGCAAGGTGGATTTCTTTTCCTGCCTCGCCACTCGGAAATCAGCTTTTTGCATTATTTATTGGACAATCATCAGCATTTCAATATGGTAAATCAAATAGTCACAGTAATATAACTATAGACAGTCGTATCCAAAGGGCCATCATTCAGCTCATTATTCATTCATTTTGTTTAGCGCTATAGTCGGCGGGACTCATGAGATTCATAAGTTGTGTAATCAACATGTTTTACTGCGGGCTCGCACTGCAAAATGCTTCACAGGCTGATAGAAGGGAAAGGTAACACGAAAAGAAAAGTGATGCCGGGTTTCAGCGAGTGGATGGAAAGCAGCAGAATTATTGAAAAATATAGTCGAAGCTGATGAGACGACACAAAGAATGTAAAGTTGTGGTGTTTAGTCATATGAGGTCAAGTGCAGGTTTTCCCCAAGATGCTCACAGTGTACCTGGAAATAGCTGTTAATGCCACACTTAAAATTAAGATAATGGCTGTGATTTATGCTTCAGTTTATGAAAATATAATGTCCAAAACTCATCTGTTGGTACACTGTGCAGATTCACACCAGTGGCTCAGCTTGTCAGCATGTAGTTCTGCACCAACTGTGTATTTTTGCATCTTTATCATTGCTGTGGTTTTAAAATAACGTGGCTCTGCTCCATTTAGATATAACTCCAGCATTGTGAGCAGAAGTGAGGCTTCCTCCTCAGAAGTTCTCATGTGGTGCAAAAGGTTAACGGTCAAGCGCTCTCCCTCCACAGGTTATCAAATGAAGCCATAATCTCTCATCTTGTCTGTTAATGCATGTAGATTAAAGCGGCGAGCAAAAGCAAAATTGCATATTACAATAATAATAATAAAAAAAAAACCTGAATGGTCACTTGTTGTTGCAGAGATCACCACCAGACTAAACACACCTACAGCCGAGCTCAGTCCACCACCTGTCTGTCATATTGCATCACACAATTAGACAAAAGTGCAGCTGTGCATGCAGCACTATCCACGATTGTCTCGGTGTGCAGTGCACGTGTGCGGCGGTGTCTAATAGTGGTGCTGTAGAGAAGAGCAGCATTATGAGAAGCTGGGACTTTTCTAATTTGATGCACTTTGTGGTCAAGCACTTAGCAGCACATATACAGGCTGTGTTCTCAGGAGTCGGCCACCTTCACCTGCTGCTTGTTCTCTGTGCTGCAGCTGAGGACAAGACCGAAACAACTGGGGGGAAAAAAAGACATCTCTTCTCTTTCCTCTAGACCAGCTCATGCTCACACAGTCTAACCTTCCGCTGATGTCAAATGTGGGGAAGAAATTAGGAGTCTTAATGAATTTAGACTCAAAGTCCTCCAGCACATATAATCATGCACAAACACTGGCAGAAGCATTAGCTACATGTGTCATGTTTTATTGTGTTGAGATAGACATGTTTGAAACCTAACTGTACTTAGAGTCAATAGAGGAAACTTGTGACATTGTAATGCACCCTTTCAGCAGATCTGCTAAATGTCAGCAAACTGGTTCTGAACGTAATCCCAATTTGCCTTGGAATTAGCACTTTACAGTGACGATCTAATTATTTAGACACTTTATTGCCTGCTGCTAATATCTCTCAAAATAAGCTGTTCCCTTCATCTTGATCATGTGATAAATGTGGAATCACTGTGGATAAGTCCCAGACATGCCTCAGAGCCTGGCGTCACTTCTCTCCTCTGATAGACTAAAGAAAAGGCTTTGTGACAGCGGCCCTGCTCCTCTGTGTTCAGGCCAAACCACTGGCGTTTTCTGAATCACTTTTATTTCTGCTTTTTTTTTTTACAGTCCACAATATGCAGATGTGGTGCGCGTCTCAAAGAGGCTGCGGTTGCATAACAGTAATCAGTAAATGGGATTAAAGGATGTACATTAGCACATTGTTTTTTATCTTTTATTTTACCTGTGAAATTTAATTACTAGTAAAGTGGAAGGAGATGCTGTGGAAGAAACCAGAAGAACTGGACTCCCCGGGGAGTTTTTTTTTTTCTTGTGCCGGTAATAAAAGGCTCACTAGTCAACTAATACAACAAACTACTTTGCATTTCTATCAATCCTCAAACCGATGTAGGGGGGTTTAAAAAAAACCCGAGCTGTAGGCTACAACAACAACAAAATGTTCCTGTTTGTGCATCATTATATCTTTCTTGTTCACTGAAACCTTGACAAAATTTCACAGACAACTGGAGCGCTGTGACGCGAGATGCGTTGGAGAGCTGTGCCACCTGTGCGCAACCGGCTTTCACATTTCACAAAGCATGTGTAGGCTGCACACTGACTGCGTCTGCTTCGTGTTCGTGATGCCAAGTTGCATGTAGTCGGCCGGAAAACTGCTGACTTTCTAATAGTTGAAGCTGTGATGTGACTCAGTCGGCAGGTGACACAGGTTAACAGTGTGCGTTTAGGTGATAAAGGTAAAGTTAAATGAAGCGGGAGCGCAAAAAGAAAATGAAAATAAATGATCTTGTACACAAACTGAGGTAATATAAAAAAAAGGTGCACATTACTTTCTTAATTCTGTGATCATTAAGCAACAAGGAAAGTCTGTCCGGAAGCAAACCGTTAAGTTTTATTTTCATCCACGTCGCATCAGCAAAGAGCGTCTTAGATTAGAAGATAAAAGCCGCGGCTCTGTTTCTTCCAGTGATCGTTTAGGAAATTGTTCTTTATGTTAAATTAAGATATTTAATCTGTTGGAGCCTCTTGTTGTATTAAATGCAAAGAGACATTAGATAATGGAAAGAATCAGCCAGGGGAGGACTCATCATTTAGTTTTTCGCATTGAGGAAATAATTTAAAGAATTCGACACAAATGCAGGAGAACGTGTTTCAGTGACTCTCCAAATTAAAAGTGTATTAATTTAGTTGGTTAGCTCGGGCTACATGCGTAAATACAGCGGTGGGAATAGTCAGAATATGTGCGTTTATCAGGGAGAATAATTTTGTCTGAAAAACAGGGAGTCCGAAATAGAAATAAAACACGATAGTGGCTGCCGATTATTTAGGAAATGTTAATAGCCTTTAAAAAGCAGTAGCTTAATTTACAGTCCATAGAACTAAACAGCTCTACATTCTTTCACATTTGCTTGAAATAGGACGAAACCAGAGATTATTATTGTGTTGTTAAATCGTTTGGTTTTGCGCAAACAGGCCTGCGTGCGCAAAAAAAGAAGAAAAAAAAATCCGCCTCCTTGGGGACATTGAATTAAGTTAGGATGAGAAAATAGTTCTTTCTCTTGTGCCAGAGTGTCTGAATTTGAAGAATAAATTAATTTCAGAGAAAGTGTTTAGCAAAGAATTGATTTAAAAGTTTTATTTGTAAACATTAAATATTTCTTTCTCTCTAAAGTTTTTTTTTTCTTTCCTTTTTTTCTTGAATTCGGCACCAAATGCGTTACAGAAGTTCTAAGTTACATCATGATGCCAAAGAATGTAGGCCTATAGTCACACACTCATGAAAACCTCTTCATATAAGATGGAATTTTTATCCATTTCCAAACGTGTTAAATCATAACTACCTAGACGTTTATAAGACATAAAACATAGACAACGTGCTCAGCATGAACTTGGATGGTTTGAAATCCTTTAAATTGCACCATGCTTAGTGTAGCTCTTGGCAATAGAAATAATAAATATATAGAAACGTTTATATTCAACAGCAACATTACTTACAGCACATACAAACAAGGAATGTCTGACAGTTTTACAAACACCATGGGTCCCTCATTTTTCTATACAGATGAAATATTTTTTTCCACATATGCGTCATACATAAAAGGAGTGCCATAACTACGAATCTGTATCAAATCTAGCAGACTACATAGTGTCCGGTATATATTATATATAGACATCACCTCAGCAAGTGCCTATAAAAGAAAATGAAAATAAAAAGGGGGAAGAAGAAGAAGAAAAAAGAAAACTAGAACATGCGTTGTCTTTTCTGGATACTTTTGGGATCCTGTCAGAAACACATAGGCACGAGTCAAAAAAGAAAAAAAGAAAATTAAATCTTTTCATTATAACAAACTTTGTACACATGTTATAAACCGATGCATTGGAGGCATCACATAATCTATCATAATATACAGTGTGTGTGCGTGTGTTTATATATATATTTATATATATGTATATAAATGGAATATATTACATCTGAGTAATGCTGAATCAGTAGAGCCGATGTTAAATAAACTGTAAGTGATTGCAAGACCAGGTTAACTTTAGGTGGAGAGAAATTTCCAAGTGTCTCATTAACTCGTTTGGCAAAAACAAAACAAATGATAAGAAGAAAAAAAATAACAATTCAAGGAATTTGAAGGCCTGCACAGCAAATCAAAGTTTTCTTCCTCTTTGTTACTTTTTTCGTGAATCCTTTTTACTCTTAATACGTTGTTCTAGTCGCCTACCGAGCTTGCAAATATGCAGAAATCATAACGTGGAAAGGAAAAAAAAAAGGAATCTGTCAAGTCTGACTCAAACAGTCTTTTGGAAGTTCTTTGAGGTTTCGCCTCTGAGTCAGACTCAGAAAGGTAGGGTGTCGAGGAAAAGTTTGTCAATTATTGCTGGCGGAGGGACTAGGTCTTCTAGCTTTAGGTAAAAGATACGCTGCAGACCTTGGGTACATAGTGTGCGCAGTTCGGGGAGCTTTCCCAAGAGTTTTGACAAGTAGTTGGGACGATTCAAACCACCGCCATTGAACGTCACTTGATCTTTGAGACAGTTGACGATCTTGTTTTGGAGATCCTCGACTCTCTTGGGTTCCTTTAGCCCATGTCGCTCTGAAAAACAAAATGAAAAAACCAAAAAAAAAATGACAGAGAAATTATTACTTCTCCGTTTTACATGCATCAAAAATAAAGCGCAAAGCTCGTAAAGGCGCAGCCTCTTTACGCACCTGTTACCATGGCCAGAGCTGCGATGCAGGAAAACGCTGAGATGTCTATATTCATGCTCTGCAAGTTGGAAGAAAACTCCACGATAGCGTCCACCCACTCTCCAAATCCACGGACGCACTGTAGTCTGTGTAACACCACTCCATTACAAAAAATAAGTTTTCCTTCCACTGGGTTGGACCTGCAATTAATAACGAAATGTCATTAATTACGCTTGGCAATAAATGGGAATTTAAGAGCCTTCTAATTATTGGGCAGCTAATAAAGTCCAAAGCAATGAAGCTTGAAGGAGGGACTGATGATTATCTAAAGCCCAGGTTCTTTTGTTTAGCGATTATTCAGCCTCACCTGTACGCCAGCCGTAGGACAAAAAGTTCAAGGAAGGCGGATTCAAAGAGGAGATCTTGATCTTGCTTCAGTAGATCAGAAAAGCCAGGAATCTTCTCCGCCCAGCCCCGGATGATCTCCATGGAGCCCGTCAGGAGATCATAGAACTGCTGGATGTGCTGAGTGTTGTCTCCAGTCATTTGGTAGTCAGGGTTAGCCTGGAACTGGAATTTAATTTAAACAGCGCCTTAATGAGGTCCTTTAAAATATATAATCCGTGAAATTGCAAATGCCCATTTCCAAGAGGGAGAGAGAGCCTTTTACTATTAAATTCATGTCTTCTTCTTTTTTTTTATTTTATTAAGTTCTGCATTTCAACGCAATTTACTTAAAATATGCCACATTAAAAGCCCGACAAAGTTTTTGAATTCAGCACCGCAGAAAACTTTCAGGGTAATAAATCGTCACCTAAAGCAGGACTGAATTAAAAAGGCCGTCAATCTTCTTCTGTCTGCTTTCTACCAGAACTTTTTTTCTTTCCCTTTTTAAATGTTCTATGTGTGCTCTTTATATCAAGGATTGTTGTATTTACTTACTCGTGAGTAGTCCAAAGCAGACATGGAGGGGTTCGAGTCCACATGGGCCCGAACAAGTGCGCTTATGAGGCTCACCGGCGGCGAGGGTGGGGAGGGCTCCTGGGGACTTTTGGGTTTGGATGGTAGGCGTCCTCTTCGACCTTTGAGATTATCCGTTCGGACAACTGCGTTATGAGAAAATATTTGACATCTATAAGTCCAGAACATACACTCCTGTTGTTGTGCGTAAATGCTAAAATGAGGACTGACGAACTTTTACAGCACTGCTTTACGCACACGTTTGTCCAATGTGTCGGTGTGAAATTATAAAGCACAAGTCTGAAATAATTTCATGCGTGGCCCAAACGTACCTTCTCGCACCATTCCGACTACAAGGCACTTCTGGAAACGGCAGAACTGGCAACGATTTCTTCGGCGTTTGTCAACAGGACAGTTTTTATTTGCTAAACACACGTATTTTGCATTTTTCTGAACGGTGCGCTGCAAAATGAAAGAGAGAGAAGAAGAAAAACATATTGTCACTCTTTATAGGCCTGTTTCCAAAGCTTTTTTAATAAATATACAACTGACTGGTTACTGCACAATATGAAACAGATGAGAGCGATATAATATCAGCCTCATCTCATGTTTGGCACTGTGCTGTGTGAACCAACAAGAGGGAATAGACCATCAGTAAATACACACCCGTGGTCTTATATATTTTCCTTTGAGGACAGCTGTGTGTGGATGTCTATGGCTGTCAGATATTTATTTTACGCGCGCTCTGAAAGCTGTTTCTTAATTATATTTAGTGTAGCCCGCAGTGAAAATGTGATTCTGTTACGTGTGGTGATTATTATTTTAAAGGAGAATAAGCAGCGTTTAACACATGGCGCAGCAAATAACGACCAAAACAGAGTCTAGCGTTCATGTAAAAACAGTAACACTCTTTCATGCTCGCTGTCATTATCAGCCCACCTTGAAAAATCCTTTGCAGCCCTCGCAGGTTCTCACTCCATAATGCTGGCAGGCTGCGTTGTCCCCACATACCGCACACAGACCCTCGTTTGACGGAGATCCTCGGGACGGGGGCGATGGCACTTGGCTGTCCACCAGCTGGTGCCCGTGGCTGAGTTGCAGGGAGTGAGGAAAGGCCAGACCAGCCTGTTTCCTTATGGCGCTGGGCACCGCAAAGCTCTGGCCGTCCAGGCCGCGGTGCGCACCCGGGTTGTCGTGGTTCATGGAGACGTGCAGCGGCCCGTCGAACCGCATCTGACAACTGGAAACGGGAGTACCGGGCGGGGACTGCTTGAAGGAGAAGAGCGAAAGTCTCGACACCGGATTCTTGCGCTGGTCTATCATATGAGACGTGGCCGCAACATAGTTCTGGTGGAAACTGTGGAGGGAGCCAGGGTCCTCCCACATGTGATTGGGCTGAACCTGGAAGTTTGGTGTAGTCGGGGCGTGAGGCGAGGAGGGTTTGAAGTACATAGGCCCAGAGTGAGCCATCATTTCGTCCGACTGAGGTGGCAGGTGGCTCTGCTGATGGTAGTTGTGCATCTGGACGTCCTCCACCTTGATAGAGGACTGCTCTCCAGAGTGGGGCATCTGATACAGACAGGGCGGTTTAACGTCGTAACTGGTGTTATAGTTGTCCATGAATGTACTGAAACTTGGGAGAGAAGTAGTGGCTGTGATCTCAGTGTTGGTCAAGTCCATGCTAAACTTAACAAACTCAGGTGTTAAGAAGTCGCAGCTGTATTCTCCTGCGGTGTGGTAGCTGTAGCTCTGGGAAGCAGGACTAGCTCCTTGAGGTGATGATCCATACTGAGCCTGAACGCAGGGCATGGCTGAAAACCAAACCGGTACAAACACATCAGAATCTCTCAAATTAATGTTTAAAATAAAAAAGTTTTGCAATTCAAAGTGAAGTTATATTAAATTAACCAAGCAAATAATAACAAAAATCTCTTATTAGTGTGTAGCTTTAGAATAAAATGAAACAACAATATAATACAATACAAATCTGTATTTTGTATTTGTGGATATTTTTTCATATCCTACCTCAAGTCTTCTGACAGTTTTCCGGTGACACTTGAAATGGGTAATGTCAGGAGTTGTGTGGGTGTCAGGATTGAAGAAAGCGACTCTGTTCTGGTTCTTCCCCTAATAAAACACACACCTTTGGCATTTACTAGACTATAAAATAACATAAAATCTAAAAATGACCACGAGATTCCAGGTGAAGTCAGAATCAACTTGCACAATTGCGCGCAAACTAAAATCAATTTCTAATTATACGGAGCGTTTTGAAAAAATTCAGTAAAGTGTTTTATAGATGTCGGCAACAAATATTAAAACTGTAGACAATAAAAAAGCACAAGTCTTTCTTTTCCTCTGGTTGTTTTAAAGTGCCGGCTGGCTCGGCATGAGCCGAACAACTTTGCGCACTTGACAGCAGTGACAACTTGCCGAAAAAACAAAAAGCGGAAAATTGTCATTAAATATCAGTCACAGCCACAGATCCCAACAGTCCGAGTCAATCTCAGATTTTGCGTAATTTTAATTTAACAGTGGAAACAGATTTAAATGGCTCGCAGAGTGCGCTGCAAGTCGAGCGCAGTCACAGATTATGTTGCGAAGAAAGACTGAATCTTACCTCTTTCACATCAGGATCGTGGCTTTCAGTCCATGCGATAAGCATGTAGGTGGTATTCATCAATTTTGGTAAAAGCTCCAAATCATGAGCGTCGGTAGCAACAATGCCAAGCAGGCAAACCGTGTGACTCCGCGCACTGACAGCGACACGAGCTTCGACTATCCAGTCTGGCCAATGTGGCTTTGTTTATGTGAGCTCTGGATACCATGGCCCACGTGTTTCACTGCACCACGTCATCGGCGTCGACTCCGACGCGAACCAATCCGCTGGGGAACTTTCTCAAGCCCCAATTTTTCTGGTGAGTATGTTTGTCTTGTGGTATGTGTTCTGTGTTGCTTCCCACATGGACATTAGCAGAGATGTAGTGGAGGGTAAACCCACCTAAAGTCAGTTCAGACACCTTGGTGTTTGCTCAGGACTTACGTCATGCTTGTTTTAGGCTGACATTAGTACATCTGATGTGATTTCAATGTATTTGTTGCAAAGGAAATGATGCATGTTTATGATGGGATGGTGGTTTGATCACTTTTCTTTTATCACACAGGACTTTCATTGTTTGTAAAGTGAGAACATTCATCCTAACATGCATAAACTTTTTAGAAACATGTTTTCCACCCTGCTGCTTTTTTTAAAAGTGGAATTTCCAGTCAGATGTTACCACACATAGCCCCAAAGCAGGAACATGGATTTGTGTTGAGTTTTCTTTTTTTTATTGCCTGATTCTCTGTGAAATTAAGATGAGTGTACATTGGCACATCAAGGCACAGTTATGTCACAATGAGGCTGATACGCCAAACTCACCACACTTGTATGCAATAGGCCTAATGAAGCGGGGGTCAATATTATTCTTTGTTATCTTCTGACAGGATTTCTGTATTTCAATTGTGTTCCAAATTTAGACCTCAGATGGGGTGGGGTCTGCGAGGTGGGCTGCCTATTCATAGCGCCGCTAGTGTATGTGAGCTGCTGCAGGAGGAAAGGGGGGATAATTAGTGGGCCTGTAGCCAGTTGTCATGGGGGACCCAATTTAGTCCCCAGAGAGGGAAACGTGATAGGAGCGGGCAGAATGGAGAGTGACGCAGAAAACGCTCAAGTTGACGCAGTCGCCAAAATAATCTTGTGGCCTTATTGTTCTGCAGCGATGGAATAACTGATCTCAGTGTAATCTTACACTAACACCTTGTAGCCAATCGAGTTGGCCTAAATCTTTCTAGATGCGTACTGGCTCGTAACGGGCAGCAAGCCCAGGAGAGAGCACAGAGGAAAAAAGTGCATGCGTAGAGATGTGGCTCCACATGCCACAGTCAGCATTACATAGCACGCGGCATCATATGTTATTGCTGGTGGACTGATGCTTTATTATACGAACCACAGAGCAGCCATCAGTCTTGAAGCAGTGCACTCACTGCACACAAGAGCAGAGTGTGCAAGGAGAGAGAGGGGGGGAAGAAAACTGTATATCATGGTTGCACTCACCTCTAGAGGACACTATTGTTCACCAGCCATACATCACCCATGCGGCTCCTGTTTCTTACAATTAACCTTTTAATTAACCTAACCCCATTAAGGCTGTGTGGTCACGCCCAGTCGTTTTCAGGTGGGCCATATGACAGGATTTGTAAATTACAAAGCACTCACACCGCACTGTGGGCATCCAGAAGCAAAACAGTGGAGTAAAAGTTATTGCAGATTTTGGAAATTTTTCAATATCTTTGCTGCCTCCACGTTAAAACGTTGAGTGCTTATTAAATTACCTTTCCTCGGTGAGCACCTGCACAACACTTTTGCGCGAATGAAGAAATCAAGTGACCACACGTCCGTATTTACGCACAACATGTGACCCACATCACTGAACAATATCAAACTATTTAGCCTTAAAAAATAACACCAATGCCAAACACCACTGACAGGACGCTGCGTGGTCACACTGTGTGTATCCATTTGCTATTTAGAATAAAAATGAAAACACAATTAGCAGTTTAATTGGCCATTTTACTGAAGAATAATTAACTTCCCATTTATATGCGCAATTAATTGACAGTCATTTGAAAGTGAGGAGTTCGCTTTAATCACACAGAAGTTGTTTCCTGAGATTATATTTTTTAACTTTGTTGGAAGAAATGTCTACTGACATTACAAACTGTAGTGTGTGTGTGTGTGCGCGCGCGTGTGTACGCGCATGTGAGTGAGAAAGAGAGAGAGAGAGAGATGCGCGTCGTTTTCATTGGTTTAAAGAGCGCCGGAGCTCTCACTTATTAATTTCTCTCTGGGTGCAACCCGAAAATCTCTCGGAGATGCGCTTTATTAGTGGATAAGACACTCTCCTCATCTCAAGGTCAAAGGATGGAGCTCAGTTAGAGGCAGACCAGCGGCTGTCTGCTCCCTGAGGGCTCGACCCAGAGGGAGAGCAGGAAAATGAACAGTGATCACCACTTGATTCACTGGTTCCACACGGGCGGTTGTTAGTAGCAACTGGCTGAAAGATAGAAACTTCCAGATAGTCTAAATAGGTTTTGCAATCTTATTTATGTCACTTGCCTTCAGTTGGTGAGTGGTCCTTCATTGTGGCTTAGTAGCCCATATGAAATGTCTGGTTCCTTTTTCTGTCGCCTATGGGTTTGCAAGGACAGGTGTGGACAAGGTAGTGATGCAGGTGGAGGACACACATGACATGGCATAAGTGATCTGCAAACATATGAATTTAATTATTTGCAGTACCCAAACCAATAAGAGCATCCAATATGAAAAACAAAAAGAAAACATTAGAAAAACCTTAGTAAAGTTGATTAAACAGTTGTGGATCTGAGTTGTGCTGCCTCCAGAACACATCATTTCCCATTTTTACTACCAGAATATTCCTATTTATAGAGCACCGGGCCTGCCTTCCCAGTTCAAACTGGCCAATCAGGTCAGAAGTCTAGAATGGAAGTTAACAGCAAATACAAATCCATCCATTTTTTCTGTATACCTGCTTTATCCTGAGGGTTGCAGGAGGTTGGAGCCTGTCCAAGTTGACATATGGTGAGGGGTGGGTCCACCCTCGACAGGTCTCCAGTCCATCACGGGGCCGGCACAAAGAGGCAGACGACCACGTGCACTCAAACTACAGCCAATTTAGAATCACCAGTTAAACCGTAATGCATGTCTTTGGATTGTGTGTTTAGCTGTGAGGTGACAGTGCGCTAACCACTGCAGAACCACACTGACCCGCAAAAAAACCCACATGATTCTCCCAAAATTCTTCCAACAGCAATGTCTCCATTCATGGATCCACAATTAATACTGAGCAAAATACATTTCAGAATAAATTAAATATCTGTGGTTTCTTCACTATTTATCCTGATTGCTTTACATTTCATCACACATCTACTCTTCAATCTAATAATTTGAGATCCAACCTTCACACATGCACCACATTAAAGAGGCTTTAGAGGCAGCTTCAGCACAAAACGGCTTCTGCAAGGGATGAACTCTGACAGACGATGGCTTTCAGAACCTAATGTCCTTTAAATAGGTGGTTTATTTTAATCAAATAAAGCAAATACACTTAATGTTAAATTGAGGTACAGTTCTGTCTGTAGCTACTGGGATGCTAAAATTAAATAAAATGAGTAAAAACAACACAGTGGTGACGGATTAGTGTCCTTCTTTCTACACAAAAGCTAGTCAGGGAGGGAGCTGGTGCCTCCTAACAAGATCCAACCACCATATAATATAATATCAGATTAACTTGAGTCTGGATTCACAGGGCCATGGTGCTGCTAATTTCAGATATGATGTCCTTGCAGAAGGCTCATCATAACTTTTTAAAGTTGTGTATGATTACTTTGTGGAGCCTTTTATTTGTATTTTATAAGGAACATACAGTATATAATACATTACAGTCTGGTTGCTGCAATGAGTTTACGATCAAGGAGTAAAGGTCATTTTCAATGTTGAAATAAGATACTTGAATAAAAGTAGCATACAGCACAAGGAATAGTATGAATACGCTGAATAATCCTGATCAGAGTGTTTTACAGTTGAGTTGAATTTTTGTCATGATGTAGAAAGTGCCTTTACTGAAGTAGGCAGCTGGAGTGATTCCTCTTTCCCACGTGGGCCTGTTGACAAGGAAAACTTTTTTCTCCATAACTTATGAAACATGATCTGCTCACATAATATGCTGATTTGTTTTGGTTTAAAAAGCAAAACTGTGTAAAAAGGATTTAAAATGAGCTTCACTTTGTCCAGCTGCAAAATCAATATACTGCTCAGATGCTGGTGAATCAGTCCTAATAATCCATTAATATAAGATCATATAGATCCAATAATGAGTATGTTTACTTTTGATACTATAAGTGTGGTTTGCTTAAAATACTTTCAGTATAATGATTGATTTAGGCTTAGGGTTATTTATTGAATTTCCCTTCTTAATTGAATTTCCCTTCTGGGATAAATAAAGTATTTTTCATTCATTTCATTAGTGGGACTTTTCTTTGTGATGACCTATTTATACATTTTTTTTTTTGCATTATATTCTAAATATGTTTTCCACTGTTGGTAATATGTAAATAACACTCCAGTGTTGTAGATGCTGCTGGTTGTGCAATAGTCCACCTGCTTTAATGTCAGTTTAACCACTAAGAATTTCTTAACAGCTGTAGATACACACTGCACCATACCTGTGAAAAACCATCTGGATTACAGTGGCGCATATGAAGTTGTGAACAAAGGATGTATTGTATGAAACACCACTTTCCAATTAAGCGCATTATTCACCAAAAAAAAAAAAAAAGACGACACATGAGAAAATGCATTTTACTGAAGATGTTTCCTCTTTTTTATTTACTTATTTTTTAAATTCGTCATTGAACTATTCACTATTTTACATTAGCTTCTCCTGCTTTTTTTTTTTGAAACTGGGTGAAAATTAGGAAGAAGTTCCCCCCATTCTCCTCAAACTGTAGTCGAGGCAGTTTGCAAAAAATCCGCCGGTCGCTTCCACAAACCTCATTTCATCTCTAAGCATCGGCAGGTATCAAACTTTCTGAGAATTGAACAGCCCGACCCTGAAGGCATCCCTTTGCTCAGTGTCTTCTTTCCATTTCTAGATTCCCACTTTACAAGCTTAAATGTCTACTTAATATGCTTTAATGCCTGCTCTTTAGAGCC